AGAGCCAGCTGGACATCTTTATGAACCATCACGTAAAATAATGTCTGCAGTAGGCCAAAGACTTTGGACCAGAAGCCAAGCAGACGTGGGCATGATCATACCCCCTAAAACATCTGTCACTGTTGCCAATATAAACATGCGCAAGCCTAGCCAGGACCCAGTACCACCGCAAGAGTACTTTTTAGGCGGCCTCGAGGGTGGTGGTGTTGAATGAGCATTTCGCTATCGTTCTCCAGGCCTTGCTCCAGTCCTCCCCCTCAATCCTAGATCCAAGATCTCACTCTCATTGTGTCACATAGAATAAGGTCAACAAGGATGATCTACGATTAAGAGAGGCGTAAAGCAATGAAATAAGACCAGGGGACCCTGAGGAATGTAGACAGGTATGCTCAAAATATGTCTTATGCAAGGGATAGGTGGTAGAAGTAAGATGAAGAGACGAGATCCAGTGCTGCAAAAGCCTTCTGCCAGCTGATGTCACTGAGCCAATCAAGGCTCTGAAGAAATCCTGACTTTAATGTTGGGATCCACAAACATTCCTGGCTTGCAGCTGGCTCAGCCTCTAAACTTGCTGCTGAGAGCCTGAGCCAGCTGCTCCTGTCCTCTCCACAGCCCGCTGCTCCAGTAAGCGCTGGAGGGGCAGAGCAGAGAGCTGGAGACTGATAGTCACTGGCTCTGTAGACTGAAAACTGAGAGCTGAGCAATCAGCGGTCCTTGATTGTTCAGTTCTCGGTCTTAAAGCCGGTGAAGGACAGGTGCAGCATCGGACCAATGTTGCATCCACCTAAATAATTATGTGCATTTATTTTAAAATCGCAAACTTCTCTTTAAAATGCTGTTGAGTCACTGCTGGAAGGGAAGAGTAGAGAGGAACAGGTAATTTCTCATGAAATTGCAAACTTGAGATACGTTGTTCTGCTTTTGTAGTTTTGAACTTGGGGAATGGTTTGAACCTCTGTTGGAGATGGCCACACGAATGGCAGTGACAGAATGATAATGCGGCTGGCCTGCTGATACGTTTCAGTAACTAATCCCTTTATATATATTGCTCTGAGGAAGGGGATTCGTCCCTGAAACCCATCAGCAGGCCGACCGTACCATCAGTCGGACACTGCCATTTGTGTGGCCATCTACATGGTCTTACAGGCTTTACATACATGCTATGTTTGTGAGTATGTTTTTTGCCTTTTTTTACATTTTAAATAAACCTTGGATAACGCACTAGGTGTTTGCGCCACCTGTGTGCTTTTTTCTAGTTGTTGATATCCCCATCTGAGGAGGGCTGCATCTCTGGAACGCTATCCATAGGCTTCTCTTGTTCTTGTTCCCCTGGTCTTCCCCTGGCATTGATTCCCTTGAGGCGCTGGAGAGTATATACATTTGTCTGTTTGTTGTTGCTATGTATTACTTGTCTCCTCCATGTCGATTATTTGTACACATCCTAAAATTTCAAGATACCTATTGTCTTTCAGACCAGCATACCTCCCTCTCACTGTTGTTTACTACGCTGTACTCTCAAGGGCATGTGTTCTGTTCCATCTTTCTCTGTGTCTGTACTCAGTTCCTCACTTCTGCATCACGTTGAATGTATATAAATGAAGGTCATGCTTTCTTTCCTCTTACCTTAGTATCTTATGCCCTTGTCTCCTAGCCCTGGATACAAGTGCTGAGATGTATCAACAATGTGTTGTCATTGCGTACCTTGTCAAAGATTTAGCACTGTGCTGTGTTAGCTGGAGTTACTTGAAGATGTATATAGTGGAATCGATTACATTGATGACATGCACGATAGATGTCAGTTGAATAAAACATCAAGCCCAAACAGCACGGTTATGTATTTTGTGTCTAGCCAGATGATGGTAAGCTACGACCTTGATGTCCTAGCAGCAGATCATTTCATTGTATAGCAATAACACTCCACAGAATAATGTGTCTTGGGTCTCACACACTGCGTGATAATAGACCTCAGGAACAACCTGTTACGGGCTAATGGCTTCATGCAAAATAATTCATGTGGAATGCACTTAGCTGCTCTACCTAAGGGGAAAATATAACAAAATTATAGGTTTCTTTTTCTTTTAAAAGGTAGTAAATATGTTTGAGCACAACGTAATATGTATAATTATAGATTTGCGTACAGTTTATTTTCTTCCTGTTTTCTAGGTCACTGACCAAAATATAAATAATATAATGAATTTAAAGGGCACATTTCATTGGGCATGCCGCCTATTAAAGTGGAACTGAAATGAAAAGCGAAGATTTACTGTGTTATAAGGAACATTTAGAAATGTTAAAGCAGAGCTCCAGTCAAAATCTAAAAATATAAAGGTCAGCAGCTACAAAAACTGTAGCTGCTGACTTTTAAAAAAACAGACACTCAACCGATATAAAAGGGGTTAAAAATGAAGTAACCCTGTACAGGTACAATGTGGAACCACATAGGGTGATAGACCAATATAATGAATAAAGGAGTATGAATAGTAATCACTCAATAATGTCCCATGTGATAGAAGTAGGAGTCGGATTGAAGACTGGTTGTGCTATAGCCATGTATAGTAAGTGGATGAGGGGGCCTAAATGTCCAATAACTTATGCAAAATGAGGCTTGCCGGTCATTAGCAATCCGGGTAGATGTGTCTCGTAGATAGGCCAACTGTATAGCACCATCCGCTCCGGTAGTAGCCAGATTCATAAACAGCAGTAAGTGTACATTTTTCATTTATTTATTTCAGGTACTTATATAGTGTTGTCAATTTATGCAGCGCTTTACATATATATTATACATTCACATCAGTCCCTAACCCTCAAGGAGTGTACAATCTAAGATCCCTAACTTACATTCATACATACACATACTAGGGCCAATTCCAGCATGTCTTTGGACTGTGGAAGGAAACCGGAGTACCCGGAGGAAACACACGCAGGCACAGGGAGAACATGTAAACTCCAGGCAGGTGGTGCCGTGGCTGGCATTCGAACCAATGACCCTAGTACTGCCAGGCGGAAATGCTAACCATTTAGCCACTGTGCTGCCTAGGAGTGTGGGAGGAAACTGGAGTACATAGGTTATTAACTGCTCACCAGTACCTTTGGTATTCACTGAGCTTAGTTCCAGCAGGCCACGAGTAGTTAAAGGACAGTACTGCTAGATGGCGTCGAGATATATTTCTCATATGCTGTACAGCGTCGGCGGTAGTGGAAGTCTGGTCCTGTCTACCGTATGTATAGCTGGAGCTGCTGGATGCCCAAATGTGTGTGATGAAGGATGGACGAGACAGAACGTGGTGATGTCACACACAGAGCGGGCGTGGGGAGGTGCAGTCCAACATGTGTCGTCCAATAGGCTTGGGCTTCTTCAGGGAGCCTATCTACGAGACACATCTACCTGGATTGCCAATGACCGGCAAGCCTCATTTTGCATAAGTTATTGTACATTTAGGCGCCCTTCATCCACTTACTATACATGGCTATAGGACAATCGGTCTTCAATCTGACTCCTACCTCTATCACATGGGACATTATTGAGTGATTACTATTCATACTCCTATATTCATTATATTGGTCTATCACCCTATGTGGTTCCACATTGTACCTGTAGCTTTTATCGCCCCCCAAGTGTGTATGTTTGAGGATGTATGAGCAGCTGCTAAGGTGACTAGACATTGTTGTCTTTTTAAATTTGGTGAAGTGATGGTGGTGGTGTGCTCAGCTTTTGTGTGTATATTTGTGCAATGCACATTTGTTTTTTCTAATAAAGCCCTTTTTTGATAAAGCTGCATGGTCCCATATGAAACTATCTTCTGGGGGAACTCTTTTACTGTTGACTGGCTCACTACCTCTGCTGGAAGTTTCCAAGCATCAACTACCCTTTCAGTAAAATAATACATTCTAAGATTAGTTTTGAACTTTCCTTCAGTTAGTTTGAGGTCATGTCCCCGTGTTTTTGATCTTGGTTTCATTGAAAATACTGCCCTCTTGAACCTTATTCATTCCCTTGATGTATTTAAAGGTTTCAGTCATTTCTCCCCTTTCCCTTCTTTCCTCTAGACTGTACATATTAAGTTCCTGAAGTCTCTCCTGATATGTTTAATCCCTTAGCCCTTTCACCATTTTTGTTATTCATCTCTGGAATCATTCGATCTTGTCAATATCCTTTAGCCAACTGCATATCCACTGAACCACCCAAGGGTTAGTCCTAGCTTGTACAACATTTGTATTCGTTCATGGAACTGTATCAAATGCCTTCTAAATTCAATATATATGCTATGTCTACAGCACCCCTCTGCTCCAAAACGTTGGTAATATGTTTACAAAATTCAATCAGATTAGTCGGACATTATCTACCTTCAGAAAAACCATGCTGTTTTGGGTCCAGCAAGTTGTGTATTTTTAAGTGATCAATGACCCTTATTTTTCAGGTATGATTCCATTAACTTGACTACAACTGATGTTAAACTCACTGGCCTGTAATTTCCAGCTTCTATCTTGCTGCCCTTCTTGTGTACAGGTATAATATTAGCTGTCCACTAGTCATGGCGAACATCTCCCTTTAGAAGAGATTGATTAAAAAGATCCGTTCTCTTAGAACTCTGAGATGAATACCATCATGGCCCATTGCTGTATTAAGCTTTTAAGCTATTTAAAGTTTTATCTCTTTTCTTAATAGATTTAGCAATTTCCTCTTCCTTTCTGTGCTTTGGCAGCACTGATAATGTGTTTGGCCGCCTTTTGTCTATTTCTATACTCTTCTTTGTCAGCTACAACACCTCCTGTTTCCTTGAATTTTCTATATGCTGACTTTACTTATCTATGCCTTTACTATCCTACTTACCTTTTTCAGAAGGAGAGTTCAGTTTTTCTTGAAAGATGGAAAGTAACCATTTAATTTCTGGAAATCATTTTGTGCCATATTTCTGCCAGCTAGGAAAACTAAGAATTTCTTTAGATGTATTGTTTGTGCAATCTTTGACCACACGGTTTTTGTCTCTGCTCTTCTGCAGGTATGAGCAACCCTGCAATGACAATTGAGAAAGAAGCCTAGCTAATCCAAGTTCTGGAAGATGATGAAGAAAGTAGGTTTAATTTGTATTACTGACAAGCTTATAAAATATATCATCCAACAGTATTACAGAATACAGAGCATACTCTCATATATTTCTGCCCTAGTGTTGTGTATCAAAGCTGTATTTTAAAGGAAGAGGTACTGTATCCGTGTGACAAATAGGCAAGGTTATGAAAAAAAAAGCCTGGAAAACAAAAGAAAAACTGTAGTTCAGTCCAGAATAACCCCTTCTACTACAAGCGTGCCTCAGTTTTGTAGTTAGGCAGTACTAGTTAGGTAGTACTAAGGTCAAAATAAAAAAAACACAGAAGAGTGTCACTCAGTGTACTACAAGAATAAAATTTCATGGTGAGTACAAAAATCCTATTTTTTTCTCATCCATTGAGGGACACAGGTATCTTTAACCTTTGGGAAGTGCAAAAGCAGACCAGCTGAGGGGGTGGGCAACAAAGCAAACAATCACAAACAGCTCAAGATAACAATGGAGAACTGGAGACTGTCTGGGGCTCAAAGAGCCACCTGAAAAATCTTATACTTGAAGGTGGCATCAGGTAGTATTAAAACATCCACATGGTAGAATTTAGAGAACTTCTGAACAGAAGACCAGGTAGCATGCTGCCTACCAAAACTGAGAAACAGGTGCTTGATGTTGAAGGGTCCAGGAATGCCACTTTGTGAATGACAGTAGCATGTGAAGAATGTCTCTAATGGGTTCAAAGAACTGTTTTTGAAACACTGAAGGAGAGACAGATTCAGATCTCACAAAGTCACTGGGAAACGGATGGGGAGAGCTACATGCAAGACCCCTGTATAAAGATCTCAATTAAAGAGTAAGAGACCGGTGGAAACAGAACAGAAAGGGCAGAAACATCTCCCTTGATCATGCTGAGACCCAAACACTAGTCCAAACCTAGCTGAAGGAAAGAAAAGATTTGTCCCCTGGAGAAGTTCCTGAGTAGCCCTCAGACTCACAGTAACTGAGCTATGCCTTCCACATCTAGTGATAGACCTTGTGGGAAGTAGAATTACAAGCTGTCTCTTAGAACCTGGTCTTCAGCAGCCATGATTGGAAAGCAAGCCTTAGTACAGGAGATTCTAATGATCTGGCAGTGTCCACAGAGCATTTGCCAAAAGTTATAGCAGGTTAGCTTACCACATTTGCCTGGTCCAGTCTAGGGCAATGAGGCTCAGCTGAATGCCTTCCATCCTAATTCTACACAGCAGATGAGGAAGACTTTTCAAAGAAGGAAATGCACAGATCAGAGTCACTAGAGCATCCATTGCTTCATCCAAAGGATCCTTGCACTTGGATACAAATCTTTCTAGTTTGTGGTTGAATCTGGAGGCCAGACGGTTACACCCCCCCCCCCCTTCCTTTGTGTCTCCCACCTGTGACATTGGTCCCGGAACAAAAAGCACTGTCCTGCGTCCAGGAGTTTCTGGCTGAGGAAATCTGTCTGCTAGATGTCTACGCCTAGAATGTATATGGTTGAGATAAGCTAGAACCCAGGACAGGATCTGATCTACCTCCATCGCTGCTGAAAGACTTCTGGTTACCCCCTGATGGTTGATGTACGCCATCACCATGGTGTTATACAATTGAATCCAGGTTGGATGATCCTCCATCAGGTTGGTCCAACACTGAAGGGACAGCCAAATCACCAGAAGCTGCAGGATGTTTACTGGGAGATAAAATTCTTCTGAGGAAAATGTAACAAAAACAAAAAGACTTAACAGGCTGGCATCTCTCATGCAAATATTCTGCACAGGGCTAATTTGTCCCATGATGACAGAATGTCGCAATGCAATGTCAACAGTGAAACTGGACGAAGAGAACTACTTCTTCATCAGCTCCAAGACTCTCATGCAAAAGTGGAGATTTGGACAGCTTCTTAACTGAAGAGTTTGAACTTCAGACTAGAGAATCTGAAACTTTCCCATTCCCAGAACCAAATACTCCAAGCGATGACTTGTTTCCAGCAACAATTTCTGGAGATATAGGATTCATTCAAACCTCTGGACTGTCTAAACAGTTAGTATTTCTTCAAGCTATCTATGGTGTCCAGCATTTTTCTGCTCTGAATGGTACTGTATATCTATGCACTACAGTACAATCCACAACACTACTTAATCAAATGTCACTATGTGACACTTTGAATAAAGCTAAAAGAATAAAAATGTAAGCATTTCAGCTTATTGCACTGCTCCCTGCCAGAGCTCACTCTGATGTACCTGCACGATAAAATGCTGACCATGTGGGCTAGTGTGAACATAGCCTAAGAGATATACTGTCCGAAAGAGCCCTTGCCAACTGTTCTCTCAACAGGAAGCAGAGTCAGTATCCTACATTGGGAATAATACAAGAATGTAACAGCTAATATAGGAGGCAGCATTTTGGTGTACACTCAAGGTGCAAAGGATAGGTTGGAGGGCAAGACCACAAACTGGTAGTGTAGAGGGTCCTATGGCAAAACATATAAATTGCTAATGAGCTGAAAAGATAGGCAAGTAAGTATTTTTGATATATCCACAGAAGCCATAAAGGCTCCCTTGTGAAGAGGTGATGACAGATCTTGTCCACATTTTTTGCAACATGTAAATTACACCTTTATCCAGGAAGCTGTAGATGACTTGATGACGATCTAGCCTGTGCAAAGACACAGGAAGATTGGAAGTATGGAAATAAGGCGGGGGGATAGGGAATACAATTTCAGTTTGTAGTCCTGGGACACTACCTTCTGCACGCAGGCAGTTGGAATGGGGGTACACTTTCATATATATATATATATATATATATAATATAAAGGCTAAGGGTTTGGCAGACTGGGAATGCCACACTTTGTGGGTGGATGGGGACACAAGCTTGGGGGGGGGGGGATCTCGACATTGAAGTCAAGTAAAGAAATTAAAGGAACATTTCTTGACGTTCAGAGAGGGGGCGGATGACTTTACAGTCTGAAGAGATGTTTTCCCTTGTAGATCAAATGCTTCTCGCACAAGGGTTTAAAGTTTCTGCAGTCCAGTATTTTAGCCAGTGTTCCCACACATATCCACTGATGTGAGGCACATGCAACAGATGAGACAGGAGGCTTCCAGCAAACTTTCTTAGCTAAGATTCACATCTACAGCCATCTGCTCCATGCATTCAATAAGCAGGAAATCAACCACAGTAGAAGTTAGAGCTCTTTCAAGGTATTTTGACCAATCAGGGATGGTTTGAGAAGGTAAAATCACAGCCAGGATCACAAGTAGAGTAGGACCCCCAGCATTAACAGAGGGCTTAAAGACAGGTGCATCCTCCATGGTATAGTGCAGTGGAAAAAATAATTATCTGATCCCTGGCAAATTTTGTAAGTTTGTCCACTTACAAAGAAATGAAGGGTCTATAAATTTTATCATGATGATGATATCATTAAATATTAGAGACAGAATATCAACCAAAATTCCAGAAAAAAATACAAATACAAATGTTATAAATTGAGTTGCAGTTCAGTGAGTAAAATAAGTAATTGATCCCCAAGCAAAACATGACTTACTAGCTGGAGAAACCCTTGTTGGCAAGCGCTGAGGTAAAACGATTCTTGTAGTTGGTTACCAGGTTTGCACACATGTCAGGAGGGATTTTGGTCCACTTTTATTTACAGATGTTCTCTAAATTCTTAAGGTTTCTTGGCTGTCGCTTGGCAACTTGAAGTTTCAGCTCCATCCATAAATTTTTCATAGGATTAAGATCTGGAAACTGGCTAGGCCACTCCATGACCTTAATATACTTCTTCTTGAGCCACTCCTATGTTGCCTTGACTGTATATTTTGGGTCATTGTCATGCTGGAAGACCCATTCACGACCCTTCTTCAGTGCTCTGGCTGAAGGAAGAAGGTTCTCATCCAAGATTTTACAATACATCACTCCATCCATTGGCCGCTCAATGTGGCAAAGTCAGCCTGTACCTTTAGAAGAGAAACAACCCCAAAGCATAAAGTTTCCATCTCCATGCTGTAGGGATGATGTTACTAGAGTCATAGTAAGCATTTTGTTTCCTCCACACATGTCGAATCAAGTTAATGCCAAAGAGCTCAATTTTGGTCTCATCTGATCACAGTACTTTCTCAAATTGACAGGACTATTCTGTGTACCACATGAGCACATAATAATTCTGGCTCCCACAGACTGGCTAACTGGTAGGGGTTCAAATACTTATTTTACTCAGTGAACTGCAACTCACATTATAACATTTGTATCATGTGTTTTTTCCGGCATTTTTGGTTGATATTCTTTCTCTATCATTTAAAATACACCTATGATAAAAATTATAGACCATTTCTTTGTCAGTGGGCAAGCTTACAAAATCTGCAGGAGATCAAATAATTATTTTCGCCACTGTAAGTGCCTTGTTAAAATGGAAATTGGGGAACAGGCAGATTTTTTATGCAGAAGAGACATAATGGGGTTTATTTACTAAAGCTGGATAGTGCAAAATCAAGATCACTTCCACATAGAAACCAATCAGGTTTCCAGGTTTTATTGCTAAAGCTTAATCAAACAAGCTAAGGTTAGAAGATGATTGGTTTTTCTGCAGAAGTGAGCCTCATTTTGCACTCTCCAGCTTTAGTAAATAACACCCAATATGTCCCTTTTGCATTAAAGTTTCTTACATGGCTGTCTTTCCCTGTACATTGAGCTGCACGTTTCGGCAGTACCGAGATGACTGAAAGCTCGTGCATGCTTGGAGATGACATCTCGACCCGGCCAATTAAAACAGAAGTAGGTAGGTACCCAGAATCCTCCCAGGCGAATATGCCAGCGGCCGGCAAGGAGCTGTGGGTATTTCGGATCCACAGAGGGCATGGACCATTTCTGATTAAACCTTAATGCCTTCATAGCTCCAAAATTTTTAAATGCCCCAAGACTCTGGTAGGAGCAGTAGGCTGATTCTTCAGTTTCAGAATGATGTGCATTACACCAATAAGTGCCGAACATT